TTTTTTTTTTTTCAAGAAATAATTTTAGAACATTCTTGGCTTAGGGTTACAAGGAGAAAATCGTGGACATTAGAGAGGAAATATTACGGAAAAGAAGAGCCGGAAAACTGCCCGGAGATACCACGTCTGTCTTGAAAGCTTGGTGGCAGTCACATTCCAAGTGGCCTTATCCAACTGTAAGCATTTTTTCTTTTAATTGGTTTACCCTATTCTCTCATGATATGTACAAGTACTATCCTCGAGATTTTTCCTGATTACAGAACCGTGAAAAACAACACGGTAATATTTAACAGATTGAACCCTGAACCCTTTCCAGGAGGTCTCCTGTAAAAAATAATAAAACTCGAGGGGATATTTGTAATACTTGGAGGCATAGTTTTTAAACCCGGGCAGGTCTCCGAGTCATCGGGTCACTGGATCAACCGTCCGGTCACCGGGTCAATTGCTGAACCGGATAATAATTTAAAATTTTGAAAATTATTTAATTTTTTGTCATATTAATATAGATAAAAGTAACAAAATTAAATGTTTTATGTATAAAATTTGTACATTAGTGTTAATAATATGTATGTCATGATAATATTTTTATCTTATAAACATATGAACATAGTTTTATTTTGAAAAACTAAATAAGAAAAAAAAAAATTAAAAGAAAATATATATGGGCTGGGTCAACTGGGTTGACCCAGCCGGGTCAACCGAGTTGACCCAGCCGGGTCAATGCCCCGAGTCGGTCCGGTCAATGCCGAGTTGGCCGGGTTTTGACCGTGTCCTTTGTTGCCCGGTCCAAATAGCCACCCAGACCGGTTCTGGCTACGGCTCGTCCCGGTCCCAGGTTGACCCGTCGGGCCAGTTCGGGTAAAAAAACTATATGCTTGTAGGGGGAATTATTTTTATTTTAGAAGTTAACTTCATTTTCTTTTTCTTTTTTCTTTAAACTGAAACTAGACCCTTAGCCAACAATTTATTTCTCCTAATTGCACCCAATTGAGGAGAGATTATTATTGATTTGAAAAGAGCTACTTCTTGTTCCTTTCTAGTTTAATTTATGGGGTGTTTTTAATCATCATACCCCAATTTTTCTGAAACAAAATCCTTGAATTAATACTCTATTTTATCTTGTGTCTTATAATTCCATCTATCAGGAGGAAGACAAGGCAAGGCTGGTGCAGGAAACAGGTTTGCAACTGAAACAGATTAACAATTGGTTCATCAACCAACGTAAAAGGAACTGGCACAGCAACCCTTCTTCTTCGTCTTCTCAGAAAAGCAAGCGCAAGAGGTAGATTTGGTTCCCCTCACCTTTTTGTCGGATTACAAACTTTTTAAGAGGACTTTTGTTTGATTTTTGGTGTCCAATATAGTGGCGCAGGTGATAAGACGGTGAATTAGCTACGTGTGCGAGAAAGAATTGCAAGTGAAAATGGATGATACCTTCTTCTATGACAGCAGTTAAATCCAGAGAGCTTGGGTTAAGAATGAGACAGGAAATGAAAGATCAATTGCAGTAGCTGTTTTTAAGGTATATTTTGACACTGGCTGGGCTTAGTAGACATGAAAAAATGTTTTTAAAACTAGATATTTAAAGCTACTTTGGTATATTGACCTTGTTTAAATATCAAGCATATATGTGTTCGAGTTTCAGAGGTTTTGTTTGTACCACATGCTGCAACTTCAGTTGTGTGTGTGTGTGTGTGTGTGTGTGTGTGTTTTGAGGAAGTTGCTATTTCTACCCTGCTCTGAAAACAGAATATGTTTTTTTACACTGTCAAATATTAAATTAATTTTTTCACCCGACAAAGTGCAAAATAAATTAAGCAATAAACTATATATGCGACAGACAAACGAAGCTAGTTGGATAAACTGCGAAATAATTATGCGATAAATTATGCAACGCATATGCGAACATTATAGATAAAGTGCGAATCATTTATTTGGTAAACCGTGCGAAGAACAAACAGAGGTAATTGATGCAAAAAGTTGAGCTACAGACGACGAATATAACTGATAAAGTGCAAAAATATTATTCGAAAAGTTATGTGACAGACAAACGAAGATAATAGACAAAGTGTGAAATATTTATGCAAAAAACTATGCGCCAGACATGCGAAAATAATTGACAACGTGCGATATAGGCAATGCGACAACCATGCGAACATAAAAAAGCTTTGCGACGGACATGCGAAAATAATTGATAAAATATGAAATAGTTATGTGACAAACATGCGAACATAAAAATAAGATAAAAATTAAAAAAAAACAAAAAAATTGTTTTATGTCAATAGGTCAGTTAAAGATGTGGTTTTGCTTTAAATTACCTTACATTTACTACAATAAATACAATTCTCCAAAAATATATAATAAGTTGTCATTAAGTAAAAATCTATATATATAATTGCTAGCAAAGCAAATGAATAAAACCTCGTTTATTTTTTCCCTCCAAAAGTAGTTACAAAAACGTGTTTATTTTATTGTATTTTTTGTAATTAAAACCTTAAACAACTCTATAATCAATGAATATTTGATTTATATATATATATATATATATATATATATAATCTCTAACAAAAAAGTTAGTAAAGTATTTGAAAATTTTCTATATTTTTCCGTTACAATCTAATATAATTTTTTTTAAAGGTAACTAAAACTGTGAGCCCGAATGTGAATTTATTATCCTGTTTGGGATCCCACTCTCGGGTATTATCCCGTTGGGATCGTTTCATAGTTTTTTTATTGTGTCTGTTGTAGTGTAGTCGCTTGAGTTGCTTTTCTAGCTTTGCTAGTTTAGGATTTAGGCGATCTTCGGATTGTCCTCCCAGTTTTAGGCCTTTGGTTGTACTATTCAGCTGTTGGCTGCTTTCTTTTCGCATATTGTGCGGTTTTAGTTATATATTACCTCTATCGTTTTGGGAAAAAAAAAAAATAAAACATACCAATGAATTTTTTTTAATATTGATTAATTCAAGTAATCATGTTTTTAATTATTTTGTTATATAATACTCTCTCCTATTTTTATTATTTGTCATTTTGAGAAGCAAACACACTAATTATGATTTTTTTTCTTGCCAATATTAAACCTATTTAGTGAATGTTATGGGAAATGATAGAGATGTGATATGAAGAGACATTGTGTAATAGATGGAGGGGTAAGAATGGAAAAATATGAACCACAAATCTAAAAAAAAAATCTTAGAAAACACTACAACATGTAATATATGATCACCCAAGAGATAAGAATTACAATCCACATCCAACGCTCACGAGCATTTTTCCTCTTCAAACACAATTCAAGTTTGACCCTTTCTTCTATGACATTTTCAATACAAGCTCCAGCCTCTTTCAAATCTGATTGAAGTTTCTTCACATCAGCTTCCTACCTCATCACATCTACTTCAAGAATTTGAGCTTCACTTTCAAATCTGTTGGAACATTTCAAAAGGCCGGGAATGATTTCACGAGCTCTAGGGCACAAAGGTGGTTCAATCCACGAAAAATATATACAACCACCATCATCCTACAATGTTCAGTTATAGAAACAAATTAATTTAAGGAGAAAAATTGTGTTTGTAGAATTCGCCCAATTTTTTGAATTAGGGTTCACTGAATTTGCCCAAATTCATAAATTAGGGTTGCCCAAATTCATCATTTACCCAATTTTTTCGCATGTAATGTATCTCCTTCCTGGATTTTGAACAGTCCACGATGTTTTCGTAACAACATTCATCCCTCAATTGCATAATTGAGCCATTGCCTCCGTCTGTCTCCAAGCCATTTTTTGCATGTGAAGAAGAAGAATGAAGAATAGGTAACGTACGCGCCTTTTTTTTTTAATAAATCTGGTGAGACGATGAAATGACAAAATTGTCTTTCAAATGTAATGCAAAATGGCAAATTTACCCTCAAAATTAGAGCGTGCGACTCGCACGCTCGCTTTTCTGGAGGAAAACGAGCACCGATGGCCGGAGGTTGCGATATAGGCAAAGTCATGTATTAAAGGTTGCAATTTAGTACAAAATATTCTTTAGGTTGCAAATCTCAAATTCGCGATTAGTACAGGTTGCATAAAATTATTTATCCTTTTAAAAAATCTAAATTTTATTATTCAAATTTATTACTAGTGAGCTTAACTCATTTACTTGCTTATTTAATTTTTCTATTTTTATATCTCTTTTATATAAACTACTACTAATACTATGTGGTTCTTCAAATTCTTGTATTCACACTGAATTCGTTTTAGTTATTTGTCCTAAATTTGTCGAGTTACTTAATGATCGCCTACTATGTTCTCTTAAAAATTTCCTTTGATCCTATCATTTTTAATAATAGGATTGGTTTTATTAAATATTTTTTTGTATATATTCTTTCTTTATTTTGATAATTCACACTTAAACTACTATTCTTAACGCATAGGTTATTCTATAACAAACAATCATAGGTCTATCTCCTGATTTCATTAATGTTTTTTCTTGAAAATTACACATTATTCCTATACAATTACTAATTTTCTTGGTTGACAATAGTATATGAAACTGTAATGATATATTAAACTTAATTACCCCATATCCTAGGTCTCCATATATTTCTCATAACTTTCTTGATTCTTTATCCATTATTCTATTGTATTCAATTTTAATATTTACAGGTATTTTTATTCCTTCTCTAAATGTTGATCGTAGTATAATTTGTATTGTGTTTATGTGTATAAAACCTATCTTTTTTCTTTCTCCTTCTTTTATTGTTTCTAATCTCTTTTTAATTTTATTTACTTCAACTAAAGGTGCTTGAAAATTATAATTTGCTTGTTCTATTCGGATTGATTGTTCTCCATTCATTATTCTATAATATATTATGTTTTTTTTAATTAATTTCTCTAATAAACCATTATTTTTTCCTTCTTTCTTTTCTAAATCTAAATTTCCTTTATTTTTAACTTTTGTTTCTAGTTTTTTATCAAATAATATGTCTGATAAGGAAGATCCTTGTTCTGCTATATGTTCTATACTATGGTAATCGCTTTCCATTATTTAATTCTGATTATCTAATTTGGCTTGTTTTTATTTCTAGGTCCATCATTTTTGGGTAAATAGATTCCTTTTATAATATGTTTTAATGTGTAAGTTTCTTTCGTCTCGTAACATTTTTAAGTTCATTTTTCGACCTATGTTAGCATCCATTAATACTTCAATCATTTGGGAAGACAAATAATAATTCATTTTTCTAATATCTAAGTTCCTTTTCTATATCCTTATCATATAAATTTATTCTAGGTATTCTGTAGTCTTGATCTTCAATTCTTAATATTAATTCCCTTTTATTTATACTCAAAACGAATTGTTCTAAAAAGTCGATTCCTAATAATATTGATTTAAATCCTTGATTCTTTTTGCTGTTAACTAGGATTTCTAATGTCATACTTATATCCTTACTGAATACTATTTCAGTTTCAGATATTTTCGTATTATTTAATTCATTTTCTTTGCATATTTCAGGATCTATTTCTGTTTTTATATCTATAGTTTCTTTAGCTAAATCTACACTTATGTGACTATTACAAGCCACTATATCTATAAGTACTGCTACTAGCTTCATATTTACTAATGCAACAACATGATATTGACTATGATTCTTTTTTCTTAAACAAACTTTTACTTGTTTCATATTTTTTTTTATACTGAGTTTTCAAATATGTTTTTAAAGAGAAATAATAAGTTTGGATAAGAACATACCTTCCTTTGTTAGCTAATCTGTTCAAGGACACCCTTTCTTCTTCTGGGCCTATACTCAATCTTCAGCAACGACCTTCGACTATCTGGGTTATGTATTCGTCGCTCCAGAACTTTTTAACAAACTTTGGACTGTTTTCTTTCCTTGCTTATTATTTTTGAGTGTATTTAGTTACTCATGAAGTATGACACACACATCTTTTATTTCATAAAAAGGATTACAAGACTCAAATTTTTCTTACAAACTTGAGCTCTTCCTTAGAATGACAAAGTCTCGACTCTGAAATAGACGTAGATCAGGACATGTCCCTGTCTTACGCGTTTACAATAAGTGATCGTCATGAAGCGACAGGTCACATCTAATTTATTTGTGATAATATAAGGTAAGATAAGATAAGATTCTGCATGTAGATGTGTCCACCTATTACATTATTGCATGTTGTATCCACTTATTACTTTATTGCTATGTGACGTAAGTGCTTACATCCCTTATTTTTCAATGGGATTGATCTCTTCTTCCTGATTTGGGCAGCATATGTCACATATATGATCTTCTACAAATTCTTCCCTTAACTTGATGCAGATTTCTTGCTTAATTGACTTGAGTATTTCATACTTGATTTGAATGACCCGCTCCATAAATTTGTTCAGTATCTCAACATCCAAAGG